ATACTTTTGCATAGCAGGAGACGATTCGTTTAACTATGTTATTGGCAGTGAACTAGGAGGACTGAATGTACTTTTGTTCCATATGGGCGGCAACTGCAACCATAAAAACACATTCTGTGCATTCTTTTAAAACTACCAAAATGTGTGTCAGGCAGCCTACATTCGAGCTGTCACATCTCTTATGGAAGACTTTTAAAATGTCACTTTGGACAGTAAACAAATTAGGTCCAGTTGACTTAAAAGGCGCCACTTACCACCATAAGATATAAGATATAGGTTAGAGCAGTGGTATGGTGTACAATGGAGCAGGACTAACATTGGGCAGAGAAAAGTCAACTATTTGTGCATTTTTATCTTTATAGCCTATTCTATATAGTATACCTACACTGCATCGAGAATACATGTTTAATTGGGATATTCACTGAATTTTACATAATTATTACGTAATCTGTATGAGTTTATTTTAATTTACAACCGGCGCGAAAGCCATGTCTTTACAGCAGAAGATGCACGGAGAGAGAAAATCATATCGAATCGGATCGAAGGACAACAGTTTGTCTGCGGGTAATCGTTGTCCTTAATCTGAATGATCTGAATACACGATTGAGTAGTAACACATTAATCAAATTGAAGAGCAAAATAGCAACAATGTTATTGTAGAAAATGAAACGATAGCCTGTAGGCAGGCCTATGGGAAGGGTAAAATGTTTTACCTACCTTGCTCTCACCAGCTGGTTTTATTGTTAAACTAGACTTCCTAATAAAAACACCGATGGAATTGTAGGCAAGTTTACTATTCAGTCTGTATTTTATTCTTACGATTTCTTAATCTTACAGACAGTCGCCTTCAATAAAGTTTACCTTGGAATTAACTAACAATCTGTCTCCTTTCTTTATCCCCCCTTTCTTTCTCTCTCCCTCTTCCCCTCCCTCCTTTCCTCTATCTCACCCAGTCTGTGTGTGATCTTACGTTTGTCTGTCGTATCCTCGTAGTCACGAATACCCCAGTTGAAGTATGATGGGGGTTGGAGCTGGAGCATATAGGAACATTGCATACTTTCTCTACCATAGAGAAGGAGGGGTGAAACAGTCGAACACGCCCCTTGCTCAGTGGACCACCCACTTGTGAGTAGTAGGCATCATACAGATGTAGGATCTTAATTTGATCACCCTGTTACAGGAGAACTTTCCAGCAATGCAGGACATTTTAAACTTGAACTATATTTTAGGTTTAAAAAGGCTTATGAAGTTTGTAATTTCCACTTTGAAATTTCAGACTTGATTTTACCTTACGAAAAATGTAGCAACCCCTACAAAAATGTCCAATAATTATAATCCACATAATAATTCATATTTCCCATTGCTGCAGGATTATTTTCCTGCTGTATCAATCTGGCTCAAATTAAGATCCTACATCTGTAGGCTACACTACGCTCAGAAAAAAAGGTGCTATCTAGAACCTTAAAGGGTTCTTCGGCTGTCCCCATAGGAGAACCCTTTGACGAACCCTTTTTGGTAACAGGTAGAACCCTTTTGGGTTCCATGTAGAACCCTTGCTACATAGGGTTCTACATGGAACCCAAAAGGGTTCTACCTGCAACCAAAAAGGGTTATTTAAAGGGTTCTCCTATGGGGAAGCTGAAGAACCCTTTTGGAACTCTGTTTTCTAAAAGTGTCGCTGTAGATACTGCAGCTCAGGTACAGTACCATGAAAATAGGTCCTACAATGTACATAAATGATTGCTTAATCAGCGTTATTCTGTGAGTTGAGTGGACTTCAAAAGGACAAGAATTTGAGCTAATACGTTAAAGTTTGTTTACTCAACAAACTGCTGAAAGTGACCTAAATTCCGTGCTTAACAGGATCCGGCACCTCTCCGTTTTGGACTGTTTTGTTACAGAACCTATTTGGCCAGATCTGCTACCTCTCCTGACATGAAAAATAAAGTTCACTTGCGAAGTGGCATTGCAGTGTAATATTCTAAGAGCAATGTCAAAATTATAATAAAAGCGATCAAAGTTCATTTGAGTTGCCTCTTCGTTAATTCTCCTGCCCCTACAAAAAAACATAATGTGAAAGATATGATTTTCAGCCTGGCCTTAATATTCTAAGAGCTAATTCGGGTTGGGCCGGCGCAGGTTTATGTAACCTACACTACAAGACCAAAGGTATGTGGACACCTGCTTGTTGAACATCTCATTCCAAAATCATGGCTTATTGCACCCGTTACTGAGATGGCTATTCCAGTTTATATGATTTAGGTAGTCTTAATAATCAATCTTCCCTACCCCAGAAGTCATTCTGAATGCAGGATACAGGTGATTGAAAGCCTTATGTATCTATTATGTAATGCATTGTCATAAAGAGTTTAATTTAAAAAATAACATATTCACTTAGACACACTTGGTGAAGGCTACAGGACTGAAAGCCATTGAATACAACATATATGCATCTGTCGCTAACAAATACAATTCACTTGATAGGCACACTGGGAAATATGCAAATAAGGTCGAATAGATCTCAAGTTGAATTGTATGTTCACTCAACTCCTAAAATATAAAGTTGAGTGAACATACAATTCAACTGGACAATGTATGTGGTTGGTTCAGCTACAGTTTATGCCCAAATGTTGAGCAAACTCACAATCCTATTGCAGCTGGTTGCCTTACAATTGTAGCCCTCCTATTGCTCAGTTGGTAGAGCATGGCGCTTGCAACGCCAGGGTTGTGGGTTCGTTTCACACGGGGGCCCAGTATGAAAAATGTATGCACTAACTGTAAGTCGCTCTGGATAAGAGCGTCTGCTAAATGACGTAAATGTAAATTGTACGTTGAATCAACATATTTTTTATATTTTTTTTACAGTGTAGAATAAAAAAAGAATACATTTACATTTAAAACACTCATACGCATAATGAAAATACTTTATAGGCTTCATGTGAAAAGGTATGGGTTATTGAGAAAACAATGAATTACTCAAACATGTCTAATAGCCCATTTTTAACATTTCCCCATCACCATCTCCTCCAGTCATGAAGAGAAAACTAATTTAGAGAAAAGAAAACCCCATATGACCAAAAAAGGCATGTTAGCCAAATGAGTCAGCTTGCTCAAAACAACCTGATATATTCACATTGATAAGATCAATTGAAATTACAAGTTCTCTGCACCATGGAATAAAATGCTTTAATCTAAAATATAGTCAGAAGAGGGCATTACTGGATATTTTCTGTGCTACTTTGTTACTCATTTATAAACCATTTAGTCAACTTCTATCTGCAGTATAAATGAGAACCATCAGACATATAAGTATTTGATTAGTCATCTATTATAAACATAATTTCACGAAAGTGAGCAGCATGAACTGCCAAACTGCCACTGAAACTGACCAAAGCCAGTAAAATCGGCACTCATTTGTTAAACTTATTTGTTGAATCAGAGTGCACAAATAGTCTGTTTAATTATCTTGGTTCTATGTGTAAATGAGTATGTATGTATTTGTGAATACTGTATGTGGATATGTGAGTATCTATATTTGTTTGTGTGTAATAATAAGAATGTGCTAAAGTGTGTGTGTGTGTTTGAGTGAATGTTAGAGAGAGAGAGAGAGAGAGTGCGAGAGAGAGAGAGAGGGAGAGAGTTCACTGCCCCTCTGCAGGCTGGTGTGTGAGATTCCGCTGGACTCTGATCTTGAGGTTTATTTAAGCTGAATTCCGTGGGCTCATCAGGACCGAGTTACAAAACTTCTCCTATAGAACCAGAAAGAATGTGCAACGCAAACTGTTCTGCATAAGGCACAAAGGCATGTCTTTAGAGGTGAGGGCAGGGCTCAAAAGACAGGCAGATGAGGGATTTCTTTAGAGGCTGGAGGGCAAAGAAGGTATTTTGGAGCTCCATCGGATACTAGAGGGGGGTGGGTGGGGGGTGGAGGGGTTGGTAGTCAGCAGCTTTAGTGAAGGGTGTGGGAACGCTTTTGGGAAGCATGAGGTTAAGGAGGCATGTCCTTTACAAGCACATCCTGAGGTTAGTGCCAAGGTTCAATATGTAATGTAATCACCAAAAGATTATGGTTATTTTGTTCAGATCAAATGGCTAATATTATGTTCGATCACACGTAGACAGAAGACAAGGGAAAACATGGTTATTTGTATCTTATATTTTTGTCATAAGATTGTAGAATAATACACAACAATATACACTGAGTGTAAAAAAATTAAGAACACCTGCTCTTTCCATGACATAGACTGAACAGGTGAATCCAAGTGAAAGCTATGATCCCTTATTGATGTCACTTGTTAAATCCACTTCAATCAGTGTAGAGGAAGGGGAGGAGACAGGCTAAAGAAGGATTTTTAAGCCTTGAGACAATTGAAACATGGATTGTGTATGTGTGCTATTCAGAGGGTGAATGGGCAAGATCAAATATTTAAGTGCCTTTGAACGGGGTATGGTAGTAGGTACCAGGCACATCGGTTTCCTGTGTGTATCAAGAATGGTCCACCACCCAAAGGACATCCAGCCAACTTTACATTTTACATTTTAGTCATTTAGCAGACGCTCTTATCCAGAGCGACTTACAGGAGCAATTAGGGTTAAGTGCCTTGCTCAAGGGCACAGACAGATTTTTCACCTAGTCGGCTCGGGGATTAGAACCAGCGACAACACTCTTAACCACTAAGCTACCTGCCGCCCACTTGACATAACAGTGGGAAACATTGGAGTCAACATGGGCCAGCATCCCTGTGGAATGCTATGGACACCTTGTAGAGTCCATGCCCGAATAATTGTGACTGTTCTGAGGGCAAATCAATACTAGGAAGGTGTTCCTAATGTTTGGTATACTCAGTGTATATCAACTAATTATATGTAGATGGTCACGGATCACAATTAGGTGGTCATGGATTGTGAGCTATGGGGAGGGTGGTGAAAGTGGATAAAGGTATTGCTGTTGAGTAGAACATAGAGCCAGTCAGTGCTTGGTGACATCATGTATGTGACTAAGCCATCTCCATGACCTTCTTAATCCAGTCCACATAGACAGAGACGCGGATGAAGATGTTAGGCTGGCCTGGGTGTCCACAGCGCCTCATGGGGATGATCACTCCCTCCAGCACCCAGCAGTCACTGTTCTGACAGGCCAGAGGGCCCCCGTAGTCTCTCTGGGGGTCACATGGAAAGAACACATCACTGTCAGATCATTGTCACACAGCAGAACTTTCCTGCAATGCGGGACATTTAAAACTTGTAGTGTATTTGAGCTTAAAAAAGGCTTCTGAAGTTTGTAATTTCCACTCTGAAATTTCAGACTTGATTTTCCCTTACGAAAAATGTATCAAGCCCTACAAAGATTTCCATTAATTATAATCCACATAATAATTTACATTGCTGCAGGATTATTTGCCTTCTGTAGCAAACTGGCTAAAATTAAGATCCTACATCTGTCCATGTTTGTGTTGGGCTGTATGTCACATAAAGGATCAAATAAAGTCATCATAAAGTTATCATCTTATCATTCTTGCTCACCATCAATCTCAGTCTCTCTCATACAAACAAATCACTGCCCATAGAAATATCCTACAACTCACAAACACACCGAACCTACCTCACAGGCACCCACCCCACCCTGGAAGGAGTTGGTGCACATCTCGTTCTCCCGAACACGACCCCGAAAGTAGTTGTTACAGTCCTTGTTGCTTAGGACTGGTATTTGAGCCACATTGAGCACAGAGTCATCTGTAGAAGTGCCTAAGAAAGTGAGAGAAAAAGGGAAAGAGGGGGAAAGGAGGATGAGATGGAGATAACGAGACAATGAGGAAGAGGTGATGCTGAGTGGTACCGGATATAACAACACCATCTGTTGGTCCAGGATCTGAAACACTTTCTCATTTACATGCTACATTAGTAAAGCAGATACTTCATAACTTCAACGGCAGAAAAAGTTATGTTTTCGCTAAAGAAACAGTATTTCATAAATTTGGTTCCTATGTTTTTCCTGACCATGTAATCTGACCTGGGACAACTCAGGGCCCTGGTCGTATGCTCGCTTCGAGGCAAGCAACACTGAACCATGCATGAAAGCACCAGCTGTTCCGGACGACTGTGTGATCTCACTCGCCATAGCCGATGTGAGTAAGACCTTTAAACAGGTTAATGTTCACAAGGCCGCAGGGCCAGACGGATGACCAGGACGCATACTCAGAGCATGCGCTGACCAGCTGGTGGGTGTCTAACATTTTCAACCTCTCCCTGACCCAGTCTCTAATACCTACATGTTTCAAGCAGACCACCATAGTTCCTGTGCCCAAGAACGCCAAGGTAACCTGTCTAAATGACTATCGCCCCATAGCGCACATCTGTAGCCATGAAATACTTTGAAAAGCTGGTCATGGCTCACATCAACGCCATCATCCCAGACACCCTGGACCCACTCCAATTTGCATAACGCCCCAACAGATCCACAGATGACGCAATCTCTATTGCACTCCACACTGTCCTCTCCCACCTGGAGAAGAGGAACACTGAACACTTTTGTGAGAATGCTGTTAATTGACTACAAGCTCAGCGTTCAACACTGTAGTGCCCTCCAAGCTCATCACTAAGATCAGGACCCTTGGACTGAACACCTCCCTCTGCGACTGGATCCTGGACTTCCTGGGCCGCCCCCAAGTGGTGAGGGTAGGCAACAACACATCCGCCACGCTGACCCTCTACACGGGGACCCTTCAGGGGTACGTGCTTAGTCCCCTCCTGTACTCCCTGTTCACCCACGACTGCGTGGCCGTGCATGACTCCAACACCATCATTAAGTTTGCTGACGACACGACGGTGGTAGGTCTGATCACCGACAATGATGGGACAGCCTATAGGGAGGAGGTCAGTGACACAACCTCTCCCTCAACATCAACAAGACAAAGGAGCTGATCGTGGAGTCCAGGAAATGGAGGGCCGAGCATGCCCCATCCACATCGATGGGGCTGTAGTGGAGCAGGTCGAAAGCTTCAAGTTCCTCGCTGTCCACATCACTAAGGAATTAACATGGTCCCCACACACCAACACAGTCGTGAAGAAGGCACGGCAACGCCTCTTCCTTTGATTTTTAATGCCGCTATATGATGGTGGTATATAATGGACATTATACGTTATAAAGAATACAACAGGAGAAATATGCAGATGAGGCTAATATAAGGAAGTTTAAAGTACCACAAGAGTGGAAATTTAAAAAGAATCTACTGAAAGATAATGTCCAGATCTTGCCCATGACGTTGCACAATGATTGAAGTCAATAAGTCACTGTTTTAGTCAAAGTATGAAATATTTGGGCTTGAAGTGGGAAATCCGAAGTGGAGACTTTTAATTTTTGTTTGTGTCAATGTCACGTATACGCCGGGAGTCAGGAAGCAGGTGCAGAAGGTGAGTTTAATAATGAAGAATGCAGATAAACAAAACAGGAGAAGCGTACAGACCGTGAATGAAAACAAGCCAATACTGCCTGATGACTGAGGCTACTGAGGGCTAAATAAAGGGAAGGTAATCAAGGTGATGATGAAGGGTGTGTGTAATAATGGGGAGCAGGTGTGCGTAATGAAGATTGCCAGGACCGGTGGTTAGTACAGTAGACCGGCGACGTCAAGCACTGGAGCAGGAGTGACAGTCAATGCCGCGTGCTTCCCCTATGATATGACGTTTCTTTTCAGGGCTGGGTTTTATTTTAATGTTCCCACCAACCAGCAATTAATCAGAAACACCTGCAAAGTTCTTCCTCTTCGGAGTCGAGTCGCGAATGAGCCAAACAGCTTGTCGCCGTAGTACTTGGCTGCCTGAGCCATGGAGCAAATAAAGATGTATGTTTTTGTACCTCCACTTTTTTTTACCAGATAATTTATATATTCTATTAGATAATTTGTAGATTTTCACTTTTATTTTTGCTAGTCTATCGTATAATGAAAAGGCACCCATGAAAGAAAATTCAAGGAACTTGTTTATCTATTTTGTTGTGCTGTTGTTGCATTTGTATTGGGGTTTTGTGTCCGATGCGCTCAGGGTGTTGTTACATGTTATTTGAAATGTAAATGATGAGCAAAGTCATTCAAGCCTATCATTTCACTTCCTTTGTGAGAACCATGAGCAAGGGCTTACTTGGCATTGCTGTACTGCAGCCTGCCAGCAGCCTACCTACAGAAGGTTGCACCGTGTCCATTACAATGTAGAAAAATGCATGTCTCTTACGGAAGATGCCAAAATATTGGAGATAACATTAAATGGCGAAGTCAATTAGTCAAAGTAGTTTTCTCTAAATGCTTATGACAAATCCAACGCCAGAGCCAGCCTAGCCAGCTGGCTAATCTTTTGAATACGGTGTAATAAAAAATAAAAAAACAGCAACAACAGATAACATTTGCTAGCTAGATAAAGTTAGCAAGTTGGCTAGCTAAGGTTAGCATGATAGCTACACTGACTCTATGTGGAAATCCCCACAACGTTCTTTCCCACCCCCAATTCATGAATATTGTATGTATACAGTGCCTTGCAAAAGTATTCATCCCCCTTGGTGTTTTTCCTATTTTGTTGCATTACAACCTGTAATTTAAATTGATTTTTATTTGGATTTCATGTAATGGACATACACAAAATAGTTCAAATTGGTGAAGTGAAATTAAAAAAAGTACTTTTTTCAAAAAATTCTAAAACATAAATAACGGAAAAGGGGTGCGTGGATATGTATTCACCCCCTTTGCTATGAAGCCCCTAAATAAGATCTGGTGCAACCAATTACCTTCAGAAGTCACATACAGTGGGGAGAACAAGTATTTGATACACTGCCGATTTTGCAGGTTTTCCTACTTACAAAGCATGTAGAGGTCTGTAATTTTTATCATAGGTACACTTCAACTGTGAGAGACGGAATCTAAAACAAAAATCCAGAGAATCACATTGTATGATTTTTAAGTAATTAATTTGCATTTTATTGCATGACATAAGTATTTGATACATCAGAAAAGCAGAACTTAATATTTGGTACAGAAACCTTTGTTTGCAATTACAGAGATCATACGTTTCCTGTAGGTCTTGACCAGGTTTGCACACACTGCAGCAGGGATTTTGGCCCACTCCTCCATACAGACCTTCTCCAGATCCTTCAGGTGTCGGGGCTGTCGCTGGGCAATACGGACTTTCAGCTCCCTCCAAAGATTTTCTATTCGGTTCAGGTCTGGAGACTGGCTAGGCCACTCCAGGACCTTGAGATGCTTCTTACGGAGCCACTCCTTAGTTGTCCTGGCTGTGTTTCGGGTCATTGTCATGCTGGAAGACACAGCCACGACCCATCTTCAATGTTCTAACTGACGGAAAGAGGTTGTTGGCCAAGATCTCGCGATACATGGCCCCATCCATCCTCCCCTAAATACGGTGCAGTCGTCCTGTCCCCTTTGCAGAAAAGCATCCCCAAAGAATGATGTTTTCACCTCCATGCTTCACGGTTGGGATAGTGTTCTTGGGGTTGTACTCATCCTTCTTCTTTCTCCAAACACGGCGAGTGGAGTTTAGACCAAAAAGCTATTTTTTTGTCTCATCAGACCACATTACCTTCTCTCATTCCTCCTCTGGATCATCCAGATGGTCATTGGCAAACTTCAGACGGGCCTGGACATGCGCTGGCTTGAGCAGGGGGACCTTGCGTGCGCTGTAGGATTTTAATCTATGACGGCATAGTGTGTTACTAATGGTTTTCTATGAGACTGTGGTCCCAGCTCTCTTCAGGTCATTGACCAGGTCCTGCCGTGTAGTTCTGGGCTGATCCCTCACCTTCCTCATTGATTCCCCACGAGGTGAGATCTTGCATGGAGCCCCAGATCGAGGGTGATTGACCGTCATCTTGAACTTCTTCCATTTTCTAATAATTGCGCCAACAGTTGTTGCCTTCTCACCAAACTGCTTGCCTATTGTCCTGTAGCCCATCCCAGCCTTGTGCAGGTCTACAATTTTATCCCTGATGTCCTTACACAGCTCTCTGGTCTTGGCCTTTGTGGCGAGGTTGGAGTCTGTTTGATTGAGTGTGTGGACAGGTGTCTTTTATACAGGTAACGAGTTCAAACAGGTGCAGTTAATACAGGTAATGAGTGGAGAACAGGAGGGCTTCTTAAAGAAAAACTAACAGGTCTGTGAGAGCCGGAATTCTTACTGGTTGGTAGGTGATCAAATACTTATGTCATGCAATAAAATGCAAATTAATTACTTAAAAATCATACAATGTGATTTTCTGGATTTTTGTTTTAGATTCCGTCTCTCACAGTTGAAGTGTACCTATGATAAAAATTACAGACCTCTATATGCTTTGTAAGTAGGAAAACCTGCAAAATCGGCAGTGTATCAAATACTTGTTCTCCCCACTGTACATTAGTAACAGTGAGGGAAAAAAGTATTTGATCCCCTGCTGATTTTGTACGTTTGCCCACTGACAAAGAAATTATCAGTCTATAATTTTAATGGTAGGTTTATTTGAACAGTGAGAGACAGAATAACAACACATCCAGAAAAACGCATATCAAAAATGTTATAAATTGATTTGCATTTTAATGAGGGAAATAAGTATTTGATCCCCTCTCAATCAGAAAGATTTCTGGCTCCCAGGTGTCTTTTATACAGGTAACGAGCTGAGATTAGAAGCACACTCTTAAAGGGAGTGCTGCTAATCTCAGTTTGTTACCTGTATAAAAGACACCTGTCCACAGAAGCAATCAATCAATCAGATTCCAAACTCTCCACCATGGCCAAGACCAAAGAGCTCTCCAAGGATGTCAGGGACAAGATTGTAGACCTACAAAAGGCTGGAATGGGTTACAAGACCATCGCCAAGCAGCTTGGTGAGAAGGTGACAACAGTTGGTGCGATTATTCGCAAATGGAAGAAACACAAAAGAACTGTCAGTCTCCCTCTGCCTGGGGCTCCAAGCAAGATCTCACCTCGTGGAGTTGCAATGATCATGAGAACGGTGAGGAATCAGCCCAGAACTACACGGGATGATCTTGTCAATGATCTCAAGGCAGCTGGGACCATAGTCACCAAGAAAACAATTGGTAACACACAGGCCGTGAAGGACTGAAATCCTGCAGCACCCGCAAGGTCCCCCTGCTCAAGAAAGCACATATACAGGCCTGTCTGAAGTTTGCCAATGAACATCTGAATGATTCAGAGGAGAACTGGGTGAAAGTGTTGTGGTCAGATGAGACCAAAAAGGAGCTCTTTGGCATCAACTCAACTCGCCGTGTTTGGAGGAGGAGAAATGCTGCCTATGACCCCAAGAACACCATCCCCAACGTCAAACATGGAGGTGGACACATTATGCTTTGGGGGTGTTTTTCTGCTAAGGGGACAGGATAACTTCACCGCATCAAAGGGACGATGGACGGGGCCATGTACCGTCAAATCTTGGGTGAGAACCTCCTTCCCTCAGCCAGGGCATTGAAAATGGGTCGTGGATGGGTATTCCAGCATGACAATGACCCAAAACACACCGCCAAGGCAACAAAGGAGTGGCTCAAGAAGAAGCACATTAAGGCCCTGGAGTGGCCTAGCCAGTCTCCAGACCTTAATCCCATAGAAAATCTGTGGAGGGAGCTGAAGGTTCGAGTTGCCAAACGTCAGCCTCGAAACCTTAATGACTTGGAGAAGATCTGCAAAGAGGAGTGGAACAAAATCCCTCCTGAGATGTGTGCAAACCTGGTGGCCAACTACAAGAAACATCTGACCTCTGTAATTGCAAACAAGGGTTTTGCCACCAAGTACTAAGTCATGTTTTGCAGAGGGGTCAAATACTTATTTCCCTCATTAAAATGCAAATCAATTTCTAACATTTTTGACATGCGTTTTTCTGGATTTTTTTGTTGTTATTCTGTCTCTCACTGTTCAAATAAACCTACCATTAAAATTATAGACTGATCATGTCTTTGTCAGTGGGCAAACGTACAAAATCAACAGGGGATCAAATATTTTTTTCCCTCACTGTAAATAAAGTCCACCTGTGTGCAATCTAAGTGTCACATGATCTGTCACATGATCTCAGTATATATACACCTGTTCTGAATGGCCAAGAGAGGGCCGCCAACCAAAACTCACGGACCAGGCAAGGAGGGCATTAATCAGAGAGGCAACAAAGAGACCAAAGATAACCCTGAAGAAGCTGCAAAGCTCCACAGCGGAGATTGAAGTATCTGTCCATAGGACCATTTTAAGCTGTACACTCCACAGAGCTGGGCTTTACAGAAGAGTGGCAAGGAAAAAAGCAATTGCTTAAAGAAATAAATAAGCAAACACGTTTGAGACTGGGACGGTGGTTCACCTTCCAGCAGGATAATGACCCTAAGCATACTGCTAAAGCAACACTCGAGTGGTTTAAGGGGAAACATTTAAATGTCTTGGAATGGCCTAGTCAAAGCCCAGACCTCAATCCAATTGAGAATATGTGGTATGACTTAAAGATTGCTGTACACCAGCGGAACCCATCC